AAAATTTAATTATTCTCAAAAATTTGAATTCAAAATTAATTGAATTTTCAATAATTTGAATTTAAAAGCATCTAAAATTTAATTCTTTTTAAAATTTTCTATCGAAATTTTTTTTTTTTGAATTTTAATAATTTCAATTATAACTCTAAGGAAATTCAATTATTTTTAACTATTTTAATAATATTCTTTGAAAATATTTTTCTGTTTCATGTAATAATTATAACGTGTGAATTTTAATGAAATAAATCAATTGCGGTCGATATGTCGGTTGTATGGGAATAAAGTGCCCGGCTTGTTAGATGATACTGCTTTTATGAAAATACAATGGCCTCTTGAATGCATTTCAGAATATAGGAAATATATATATATATATATATATATATATATATATATATATATTCGGGGAAAATCATCTAGAAGCGCCGGCGGTCATTACGTAAATTATACTATAACTCTCTATATAAAAGCGATAGAGGGAAAAATTCGCGAACGAGAACAAAATGGAGTGAAAAGAGATAAATATTAAACGTCTCCGATGCATCATATTTTTTTGCTTCAGAAAAGTCTTTAAAAACATACAATCATTTTTATACTTTATGAAAGCAATATGGTGCCTGGCAAAAATATCATTCAATTTTTTTTTTTTCTAACTATTTCATCTATATTATAGTTCCTCGAATGTTTGCCAAAAATATCATATTTCCATTTTTTTTCTCACTATTACACTGAAAAAAAAAAATTATTTGATTCAAATACTCAATTACTTGAGTATTATCAAATAAATATTTATTTGAACCAAATAATTTTTATTTGAATTAAATAAATTGTATTTGAACCAATAATTTCTGTACTTGAAACAAATACCATTTAATTGACTCAAATAATAATTATTTGATACAAATAAATATTTATTTGATAATAGTCAAGTAATCGAGTATTTAAATCAAATAAATTTTTTTTTCACTGTACACTAATATTAAAATTACTTGCCATTAAAAAGTATATTTCAAAATTTTTCATTACAAAAATAAAAAAAAAACTTTAAATGTAAAAAGAAAAAAGTTTCACGCTATAAATTATTTTATGCTGATGCATTTTATATTGAACGATATTAAATGGTAATATTTATTTTTTTACTATAGCTGGAACATCAAAATAAATCAATATATATATATATTTATTTATTTATTAATAATAAGAATAACGAAATAATAAATAAATATTTTTTATTTAAACGATTTTTGTGCCATTTTTTTTAAATATCTTTTTTTTTAATATTACTGTAATCAAAGAATTGTTCTTCCATTTGAATTTCAATTGAACTTTGCGAGGTGAAAAAAAAATCGTTTGAATTAAAAAAAAAAAATTCCTTTCATTGAAATCAATTGTTGATTTGGAGAATTGTTTTTTAATTTGAAAAAATATTTCTTCATTGATAAAAAAAATTAATCATTTAAATTTATTGTTTTTTAATTTAAAATAATTTTTTCCATTTGAAATTTGGTTACATAAAAATTATTATTATTCATCTTCCATTTGCGGGAGAAAATTAAAAATAAATAATTTTTTATATAATTAAATAATAATATAATAAACAAATAAATATATATAATCTCTGTCATTAAAAATTAAAGAAGTGTATTCAATTAATTGGTATATCGACTTATTTTGAATTTCATTATATATTGCGCCTCTGGTGCACGCGAATAATTTTCTAATGTATATATATATATATATATTGAAAATGACTCAGCAACGAGAAAATGATTCTGCAACATTTTTTTTTTTCAAGTACATTACCGGATGCTGATATGTATAAAAGTTGGAAAGTTTCAACTTTGTTATTATTTCAGATAATCAAAAGTTTTTATTTAAGAGTTACAAAAAATATGCTAAGTTAATATTTGAAATATTTGATTTTCGATTATTTTTTCCATTTTAGAAATTTTTATTTAATAATTATCATTGTTAACGTCAAAAACAAGATTATGGAGTTCTCATAAAAATTAAATTAAGCGATATTTAAAAAGAAAATTCCCAAATGGATTCGAATAAGAACTTATAATTTCTTAATTGTTATTTCATTTGTTATATCGCTTACAAAAATAATTTTTTTTCCAACACACATTTGATTTGCGTAATCAACTGAAAAGTTAAAATAAATCAACTAAAAAAAAAAAAAAACTAGCAAAAGCACGAAAATAAATAACTGGAGATAAAGTAGAAATTAAAAAAAAAAAAAAGAGAAAAATGATAAACTGTTGAGTTATACATGTAACAATAAATACGGGAGCATTTTTCAAGCTATGTAAACAATTTCCCCAGTATAAAATATCGATAATGTGCCCCCCTCTCCAAACACACACATATACAGTTCGTGAATAAATGTGTTACCTCACTTTTTTCCCACGATTTTTTTTTGCCATCAACGAGAATTTTATTTATCTACACACACGAAGCTCAAATGTACGGATGCATGCAATTATTTTTCGGATAATAATGTATGTTACGTGTAAAATTATTATTTTTATTCATTTTTTTTTTTTTGCTCGAAGATTTTTTTATTCATATTCAGAGCAAAGAATATATTTCTACGAATGAATATATATAAATACGAGAATATTGTTATATAAAAATATATTATAGGGATTTGTATACATTTTTTTAATGTGTTTCTTTGTCTCACAGAATTTCATATATTACTTTTCTTGAATTAATTACAATAGGGATTAATTTTTTGCTAGCGGATTTTCTTTTATTTTCAAACGAAAAAAAATATATATGCTACACTGAAAAAAAAATTTATTTGATTCAAATACCGGTGTATTTGGTTATTATCAAATAAATATTTACTTGAATCAAATATTTCTTATTTGAATCAAATAAATGGTATTTGCTTCAAATACTGAAATATTTGATTCAAATACTATATATTTGATTCAAATAAGAAATATTTGATTCAAGTAAATATTTATTTGATAATAACCAAATACACCGGTATTTGAATCAAATAAATTTTTTTTTCAGTGTATTTTTATTTTTCCTACTGTATATAGGTATATATAGCTTTTATAGATATTAATATATTTAAAAATTTTAAATTTTCTTTTTTTAATTAAAATTGAAAAATTAAATTAAATTTTTAATTGAATTTATTCTTATTGTTATTATTATTATTATTTTCTTTAGAACAATGGAAATATAATCTTTTACATTTTCTGTGCCCATATTTTTCGCTTTCATTTTTATTTTCAGTTAGTTTATTTTATTTATTTTTTATAAACCATTTACTGTTATTTTACTGTTCTTCTTTGTTTCGTATTTTATATTATTTTACATTTTTTTTACTCGTGTTTTTTTTTTGTTTTAACCGCTTGTTTCCATATTTTAATTTTTATCTTCGCTCTTAGGTTTTTTTTTAGTTTTATTTCAATTTTCATCTACTTTCATAAAATTGAAGAGGGGTTTTTTTTTCTTTAGATATATCCTATTGTGTTTGGCTTTAAATAGAAAAAAAATCAAGGAACACTTGTTTCCTGTCTACTGGCATTACAACTTCTTAACCCCTCGACATTATTCTTGCACTCTTTTTCACGGCTTCATTCTTCTTTGTTAATCTCTTATTATCTGCCAGAGAACGCCTTTTTTTTTTTACTTTTTCTAATTTCTTAAGTAATACTATATTACAGTGAGTGTACTTTATGTTATTCTCCTTCCTTGAGCAAATAAATTTTCTTCTAAAATTACTTCTCACTTTTTAAGTGTAAATATATTTATAAATTTATTTCGGTTTACAACAAAATATAAATATTAGACAATTATTATAATTTAAAAAATTAATATTATTCAATTAAATTATTTAAAAATAATAAAAAATGAAAATATAAAAATTACCGACACAGAAATCTACATTACCGATTGATGGTAAAAAATCCCTAGAATATACCTGGAAAAAATTAGCATCGGTCGGTAAAGTAGATTTCTATGTCGGTAATTCCTTATATTTTTATTTTTCAAAAATTTTACCATCAGTCGGTAAGGTAGATTTCTATATCGGTAATTTTTTATATTTTCATTTTTCCAAAATTTTTACCATCGGTCGGTAAGGTAAATTTCTGTGTCGGTAATTTTTTATATTTTTATTTTCGGAAAACTGTTTTACTATTAGTCGGTAAGGTAGATTTCGATGTCGGTAATTCCTTATATTTTTATTTTTTCAAAATTTTTACTATCAATCGAATATTAATTTGTTAATTAATATTAGTTTGTTAAAAAATAATTTAATTAATTTGTTAACTTATTAAAAATTGTTAAGTCTACAAATTTATTATTGTATAAAGGGGATAAACGAACTTTAGAAAAAAATGCATTAATTTTTGTTTCAATTTATAAAACCGTTTTTTTCCGTTTGCTTTCATATATACATATATTGTATATATACACACAGTATACATGCATTTTTTTTCATATAAGCTTTTAAAAATATGCTTTAGACTTTTTTCTTTTCTATCAAAAAGTGAAAAACTGCAGAAAAATCTAATTTTACATAAATATTACACGCACTTTATGTATTACCAAGTAAATGGTATGCATATTCTTTTGATGAATATTCAAAACACGAGGAAAAATTTACAATCTCGGGGAAATAGCGTATTTTAGATAGAGGTATAAAATGTTTTATGTAAAGTATCAAAAGATGTTAGATACACATTGGTCCTAGTTGGAATTTTTTTAAAAATTTATTTTCACATCAATAATTATTAATTTATTATTTATTTTATTATTATATTTTCAATTAATTTGTTTAAAAATTAACAAAATAATAATACACCCAGAGAAATATTTTATTTACAACAAATATAATATATTTGAGTTAAATAATCGTATATTTGTCTCCGAGCCAATCCCATTTATTTGGCATAAAAAAATGTTATTTTTATTTTATGTATTATTAAAATTTGAAATTATTTTAATTAATCAAATTAAATATTAAATTGCAGAGTGAGAAGAAAAATTGAAAATTTTTCAACATGACGCATCGATATTATTATTATTATCAGAGAATTTTCAATATGCAAAGAAGATTTCTGAATGAAAATCGATTAAATGAGAAATTTATTCAAAGTGAAAAAAGAATGAAGGAACAATTGGAAATAGAAAAAGTCATTTTAAAAAACACGGAAATCACACAAGCCCATTTGACACCTGAATTAAAATTGCACCTGTTGACAACGAACTGTCCTCTATACCATGCAACAACTGAAACAACCCAATCAACAAATGCAAATAGTGCCATGGAAAAAATATTCTTTCAAGATCCATTTTGGTCCATATACTGGCCGGGAGGACAAGTTTTAACGAGATTCATTTTAGATAAGGGAATAAAACTTTTGTCCAATGACAATAACGACAAATCCAACTTGCGCGTTTTAGATCTTGGTAGCGGATGTGGAGCTTCAGCTATTGCCGCAAAACTTGTCGGAGCTCGACAAGTTCTTGCAAACGACATCGACCCAGGTAAGTGAATAATGCAAAAAAAAAAAAAAAGGGAAAATGAAAAAAAACGCAATGTTCTTTTCCTCCAATATATATTTTACGCTGGGGGAAAAAAATTCCAAGTTAGCAAAAATTCCAATTGTTTTTACCAAAGGAGAATAAATTTAACTTTTATAATAACAAAGAAAAAAAGTCTGACCGAAATTGAAATGATAATATATTTTCAAGACTTAATTACAAAACCTCAGAAATTTTATGTCTGACTAAAAATTACTTGTACTACTAATATAGTAAAAATAGCAAGGCCTTAGAAATTTTTTCTCTAACTAAAAATTACTTATTACTGCTAATAGAGAAAATTTTATTTCTTGTCTGGCCAAAAATTACTACTACTACTAATAGTAAAAAATATTTTTAAAAAATTAGAAATTTTCTGTCTGACCAAAAATTACTACTACTACTGATAATAAAAATTATAAAACATTAGAAATTTTCTATCTGACGAAAAATTACTTTTACTACTAATAGATAAAATTTCATAAAGTCAGAAATTTTTTGTCTCACCAAAAATTACTTTTACTACTAACAGTAAAAATTCTAAAACCTCAAAAATTTTCTGCCTGACCAAAAATTACTTTTATCACTGATAACAAAATTTTCCAATGGGAATTATTGTCTGACTAAAAACTACTTCTACTACTAATAATTAAAATTGAAAACCCTCAGAAATTTTCAGCCTGACTATAAATTGATTCTACTATTAATAGAGAAAATTATAAAAGTTCAAAAATTGTCTGCCTGATTAAAAATCACTTCTACTACTAAAAAAAATTACCATTTTTTTTTGACTAAAAACCGACTATTTCTACTGAAATTAAAATAATTTAAAAATTCTTTTTGTCTTTCTGAAAATGTCTTTTTCCACTGAAACGAAAATCAATCGAAGATTTTTGGCAAAAATGACTGTTATTAAAAAAAAAATAATTTTGTCTGTCTAAAACTGTCTTCTACTACTGATACCAAAAATTTTGAAAATAATTTAAACATTTTGTCTCAACAAACACGAATTTTATTACTGATATTAAAATTACTACATCTTTAAATTGCCATGTCCAACAAAAACTGACTTTTACTACTGTCATTAAGAACGTTGTTAAAAATGTTTTACACGTATAAGCTTTTTCACCGGAAATAACAACCCTTTTTTTTAATTACATTTTTCACGACCCTCTCGATGCACATATAGGTGTGAATTCAATTTTTTTACATATTTCCATTCGAATATTTGTCAAATCTATTTTTTATACATGATTTTATTCTATTTTTAGTTTTCATTTTTTATGGATTTCAATATATAATATATTTCTATCTGAAAAAAACGAAAACTAAAAATAATAAGTAAAATAAATATATATAAACAAAAGAAAATTCAACAAAAGAATTTTTTTTTAATTTTTACTTACAAATCTTAAAAAATGTTTTCTCCTTGCTATTTTGAGAAAAATTAAATTTTTTTTCATAATGCTTTGAAAATGAAAACATGTTCATGAATCATATATATAGAGAGAGAAGAAAACATTTTGAACACTTTATAAAAATATGAGTGTTTTTAAAGTTGGCGAAAATGCGATGAAATTTTAAAGAGGATATATTTGTCAGTCTCTTGTGTTGCACAAAAAATAAAAGAAAAAAAAAAACCCCCCATAACAGTTTTCGTAAAAATTTACCAAACTCAAGAGAATTGTGTTGGACATCTTTGTTTATATGTGAAGTAAATATATTTTTTTTTTCGAATAGGTTGTTAAAAAGTAATTAACAACATTTAATGAGCCATAGAAAAGAAATAACTTTTTATTGTCGACTTTCCCTTTAAAGTGTGTGTTGCCTATAGATATAGATATACGTTTTAAGGGGGTAAAATGCAATTTTAAACTTCCGCTAAACTACTGAAATGTTGAGCCACTTTCCACCGTTTGCTCAGAATAAAGAGCAAATCGCCTTGAAAAAAAAACAGTTTTAAAGAAACAATTTTTAAAACAATACTTTTATTTTCTTTCGCACAATATTCATTCTTTGAAAATATATATGAAAATTGGTTTAGAAAAATTTATTTATTTATTATTAAAAAATGTACACTGAGAAAAAAGGTTTGAGCTGACAACCAAATATTTCATTTAATATATGTGCAACTAAAATTTGTTGGTTGACACAACTAAACTTTAGTTGACATCAACCAAAGTTTGGTTGAGACTACCAAATTCTTTTTCATTTTCTTATTTAGTCGTCTGAAACAAACTTTGGTTGTTGTCAACTAAAGTTTAGTTGTGTCAACCAAAAAATTTTAGTTGCACATATATTGAATGAAATATTTGGTTGTCAGCTCAAACCTTTTTTCTCAGTGTATATAAAATTTTTTTTTTTTTGCATTTTATTTGTTTTAAAATAAAAAAATTTTTTTGGCACAAATTTTATTTGACGCAATTTTAAAACTTTAAAGAAATATTTTAGTTTTAACGCGCAAGTTACAAAAACACTTTATATTAAAAAGGTAAAAAAAAGTGTATCTCGAAGCAACAAAAAAAAAAAGAAAAATAAATGAACTAAAACTCGAAAGTCTTGAAAATTCAGAGAACAACTAGTTCTTAATTTTACCCCAAGGCATTGACTTTGAAATCTAAAAGTTTTTACTCAAAAAAAAAAAAAAAAAATATTTAAAACAAAAATTTTTCTATAACTTCATTATTAAAAATTATCGTATAAAATATTTCTCATAAAACAATATAAAAACAAACACAATGCTGAAATTATATTCAATCTTTTAATAAAAAAATAAATAAAGTCTTCAAGATATATTGGAATGTCACTGAAGAATATTGAAAAAAAATTTAATTCAGTTATTTATTATGAAAAGCCTGGTCTTTAGTTTTTTTAATTTTTTTTTTTTTAAGAATTTAATGCATTTCAAATAAAATTTTATTAAAATCAGTTTGTAATATCCTTTTCTATTATTATATTCCAGACAAGATCCTTCAATTTTCCTCTTAGGATCATATTCAAATAATTTCTTTGCTTTAAATATAATGATATTAAACAAATGAAAATGTAAAAAATTCATTTCCCTTGGAGTGCGATGCTTTTATAATAAAATTTGAATAACGTATAAATGGAATTCTTCTTTTGATCATGAATTCATAGATAAGCCACAAATATTTTATTAAGGAAAATATATATCAAAATATAATTGGCAAGAGGTCTCTTTTGAAAAAAGCAGATTTTTCGTTTGATTAGCGCAGAGAACGTAGAAAATTCAAAAAAAAAAAAAAATTTATGTTAACTCTAAAATGTGCTTTGATTCAAAAAAATATATTTCCCATTGAAGATAAAAGAACACGATTCGCTTTACTTTATATGTAAAGTTGATTTAACTGGATAATTTTTATATATGAAAAAGAGGTTTTACCAAAAAAAAATCTTTTCTTATTTTTTTTTACGTCAAATTATTGTATGATAGAAATTTTGAAAAAAGATTTTTTTTAAACCCTTTTTGCCAAAAAAGTTTTTTTTATTTTATTAAACTGTTGATAAATAAATAAAATTTTTTTTTTTTTGACTTTAGTTTCTGAATTAATTTTTCAAACTGATTATATTGAAAGAGAAGATTACACGTTTTTATTTCCAAAACTTTAGGACTATCAAAATTCTCTTTAATCTTCAAATTACTTTTTTTTGGAGTTAATTCCCTCATTCGTTATTTAAAATAAGCCTAATAAGAATTCATTCTTGATTAAAAAAAAGGAAGAAAAAAATCAGAGCTTAAAATACAATTCAAAGTACAAAATTACAGAATAAATAAATAAATAAATATTTGTGACAAATATATCTATCTTTTCTCTGGGTGTGAGTTTTGTTAACTTTTGTGAAAATATAAAATTGTGCCAAATTTCAGCTCTCTAGGTCAAAAATTCAAAAAGTTTTTTTTTATTGGAGGCTTTTTTTTAATTAATATCTTTCTATAAAGAAAAATCAGACAATCAAGTTAGTATTGTTTCCACTTTCGCACTGGATCAAGAGTATGTTGACAATAACCGAGAGTGAATTCCAACAATGGAAATCAATGTTTTATTCCCTATCACGATTCACCTTTTGTGATCTGCGGCACTTATCTCAAGCTCTTTCATTTCTTTTTTATTCTCGTCTCTCTTTCTCTGTTGGATTTATTTTTTTTATCTTTTTTTCATGTTCTTTTAGAAATGCATATATATATATAGAAAAGACTAACCAAGTATGACGTCAATTACTTTTCAGTCTCGTCCTTTTAAAAAAAGGAACAACTTCATGTTGCTCAAATGAAAGTACATACATCTTTTTTTTTCTCTCCTTCTCTTTTTTTTCCCTTGTCAGTTGGTCACATTGACCATAGTATATACACGGCGGGGAAAAATCGTTGAATTCCGGCTATTGTATCAACAAAGGTAGAAGGGGAGGGGAAAACCCGTCGCGGGTGCTTTTATCACACTTTTGCCAGATACGAGAATAAAGAATGTGGAGGCACGCGTCGACAGTCCATGACCGCTCAAACACATAAACACACACATACATTTTTTAAAAGTGGTAATGGTATATATAGTTACGCAAAATTACACGCGCGCACGATACGCACTTTAGTGACGCGAGACTCGTTTATTTCCCGTTAACAACGTCCACATATTTTTTTTTTCCTCCTCTATCTCGTCTGCATTCTAAAGTCCACGTTATCCAACCCATTATTATTTTTTTTCTACTAAATTATATACAAAAATACATGTCACTTTCTATATATATATATATATATATATATATATATATATATATATATATATTTATTTTTAATTATGCAAATTGTCAACCGAAATGTCAATTTTTGTTGCGGCAAACTATTTAAAATGAAATAAAAAAAAAGAAAAAGTAATTTTAAACACTTTTGTAAGGATCAAATTCCATATTCTGAAAAAAATATGTTATAAAAATAATTTAAATTAAAA